ATTATTATTTGGAATAATTTTCCCGCTTTTTATCTTTAAAATAAAACTAAGTTTATTAAAATCGTACGAGGGGTTATCAAATAGCAGCATGATTACTTCATCCCTCGATGGCTAAACACCCGTTATAATACGGTATTATTAATACCTCATCAAATCTGTTGACATCGTTGGACATAATGTTCAATATCTGGCCAACAGTTGTCTGTCCGAGTGATGAGTGACTTAAACGCATGGACTTTACAACAAATTATATAACAAATCTACCGTATTAATATTTGTTACATTTACATATTTGTAAAACTTAAAAATTACAAAATTACTTATATACTCTTATGGGACAGACCTTACGGTATATTAGGGCACAACAGGCGGTGCGAATTCTAACCCCAACTTTGCTACACAAAGCTTTATTCAAATGTACGATAAATATGCTAACAATGGACAACAATACAATACACACGGCTGCCCACGTGGCCCACCACTGGCTAGTGTTGGGGTCATTGTTGAAATATCTCACCAGATAAACAATACAATACGGTACTAACAAGTTAAGTCCCAATTCCTGTTTGATTGCAAAATATAAATAATAGTAATTAAAAATATTTTTTATATACATTATTATTGTATATTATTATAATTATTGTTCTTAGTTAATTACTATTATGTATAAAGTATATTATACCCTGATAACTTCGGGTATGTAGAGAACAATAAGTTCGGGTCCATAAGATGCGAAAAGTGCCCAAAATAGCGATGGCTTTCCTTTACTTTTCAATTGTTTATCCCATTTGCTATACAAATACATTATATTATTATTGTTTTAACGATGAATAAAAAATCAATATTTTATATTACATTTGCAGCTTTTGTCGGACTCGATGTGTCTCATCTGATTTTGGGCAGCGGTAGAGATCACTGAACTCGAGGTCCTTTTTGTGCGCCCGAATGAATAGACTCCACACCCAACTAAATTAAGACATAAAATACATGGTAGAAAATTACATTACAATTTAATATACAGTATAATATTGTGTAATGTAAATTTAAACATAGTAGATTTTTAAAATAAATGACCTGAATGTAAGCTTAGAAAGTATGTTAATGCGATCCCATGGACTCGGAATGGTTACCAATCCATCGGTTACTTCCATCGTATTATTTCAAACTACAATTTAGTATAAAAATTGTAATTTACAGTTTTACTATATTACTAATCTATTTTTTGTCGGTCAGAAGATTTCACATCAGTCATGAAAAGCCATAACCAGCTTAACCCTTTTCATTAAACTTTACATACATATTTGGTGCTAGTCACTTAATAATGGTTGAATTCAATACTTTATGATTAAACCTAATTAAAAAAGTTAAGCTGGTTATGGCTTTTCATGACTAATATGTAAAGTAAGCAATTGATCATGATAACTTTTATAACTACTCCCGCAATAAATTCCAGAGTCACGCCGACAATAATGTTAGTTCTCTGTATGTTTATATTTAATTTACTTATTAATTTATAAGTTAATAATGTTTATTTTAATTATCAAAATACTTTTAATATTAATAAATTAGTTCATATGTACTCTAGAGTTAACTCAAGCCAGACGATTTTTTATCCCCCCAAAACGACAAATAGCCCTTTCCTTTCATTAGTTATGCCCTTTATATGATTCATACCTGTATTAAAGTACAGAAAAGTTGTGAATGACGAATATAAAGGGCATAAGTAGTGACGAAAGGCTGTTAAATTTCCGGGGGTGCGTCAGAAAAGTTAACTCTAGGTATTCATATGCAAAACCATATGTTATGAATATAATTACAGTATTGGATCATTTGGGTGAAGTAGCAGTTGTGTGAACTAACCATTTGTATGAACCAAACCCTGAAACCAAAACCCGCACTGCATAGACATAATGTTAAAAAAGTACCATTTGTGTGAATGTTACCTGTGTGAACAATTTAGAGCTATTATTATGCAAAATTCAATGCATTTTATGATCAGTTGAGTGAACCAAATGCTAAAACCCGATCACTTCACCCAAATGATTTTTTACTGTATTACAATTAAAACTGAATGAATAAAGTAATGTTAGATTATGCATTGCAATGATTGATATTTGAGTTGTTGTTAGTTTTTAAAATTTATAGTATTATTCAAATACATGCCCCGATATAACCAAGGTGTTGTCTAACTGCGCTATAATAAGTTAATAATTACAATAATGTGTATTTACCTTGTTTCCAACTGACAAATGCAGTGTGATTGGCTAGCAGTGATTGTGTGTTATGTGTGGCTATCGGCGGGTTATTATGTCCACTCAATTATACACACAAAACAATTGCACTTTATTTGGGAGTAAAACACATCATAACTTATGATTCATAAGTAATATCAACTAATATTACATACAGTACAGTATATGGCGAGATGTGAGGCGTAAATATAAAGTTTCATATTAATTTGTTATATTAATTGTAATGACAACTAATATTTAGTAATTAGATTTACAGTATAGATATTTGTAGTAATATTATAATTTCAAATAATTATGTGATGTGAGCCGTAAATATACAATTGTAACTTACAATTTGTGAGCCTTAAATGCAATTAATATATAAATGTTATTAGTCCTTGGTAAATTAATACTGCAAAAACTAAACTAAAAGTTTTAACAAAATAAGAATTCTATTAATTGAAATTATTTAAGAGATGAGAGGTATTGTTATTAATTGTTAGGGAATAAGAACGTATTTAAATTCAATTTTCTATTTTAAATATTAACTCGATTTTTAGGCAAAAAACTTGGACACAATGAATTTGAGGGGGTCTACAACTTTTAATAACATTTCTTACACAGACAATAGAAGTGGTAGGAATCGACAATAATCTGTAAAGGGTACATCGGGGCAGATGATAGTGTAGTTATGGATTTTATATCTTATGTTGTTAAACTTTTAATTCAGTATCATTTTTATAAAAACACAGACAATAGAAGTGGTAGGAATCGACAATAATCTGTAAAGGGTACATCGGGGCAGATGATAGTGTGGTTATGGATTTTATATCTTATGTTGTTAAACTTTTAATTCAGTATCATTTTTATAAATATTTTTTGTGTTGATTTTTTCAGCTTCAAGATTGTCTAAAATTCAATTTTCTTGACCTCTAGCTCCTCCATATCACGTGAAAGTGATCCAAAATAGTATATTCACTGCCACCCTATTCCATGAACATATTTCAGCCGACATATATGGAATTAGAGTTTTGATCGAATGGTGGCCACTATCTATGTGCGGCCAACTTCGGTTGGGTATTAAAGCAAAAGCCACGAGTGCGGCAACTTTTTGACCGCCCAAATCTGTGATATTCATCCATCGAATTGTAATGGTATATTGTTTAGATTTTTAGTGCAACACGTTTGGATTATACAAGATTTTTAAATTTTTGTAAAAATAATATCGAAAAATGACCATGTTCGGGGGTTTGCTGGTCATCAATGAGAAATGATATAAAATAATTGTCAAGGGCAAAATAACCAACAATCATTCTATTTTTGTACAAAAAATAATTTTGCATAAAAAGCACACGTTTTATTGTAAAAATTTTAATTTTAAAATAAACCTATTAATACGTCATGACTTCTTTTGGGGACTAATATTAATAAACTATAGCAATAAATATATCAATTAATAAAGATACCAATTACTAGACCATAACTATACACATAATTCTATAAAAATACTGACCATAACTCTATCGCAATCGATAATAGTGTTAAGCCTATGGGCCGACTTGCCCGCACCCGTGCGGCCAACGATACCGATCTTCTCGCCGCCCCTTATCTCACACGTGATGTCTTTGAGCACCGGTTTGTCGGGTGCGCTGTCGTAGATGAGCGACATGTGGTCTAAGACTATACCCCCGGTCTGTGGCCACTGAGGGTCGGGTGTGTTGTCTTGAGTGGACAGTAGGTCCGCCTCTTGCGGTAGTTTTGTGTACTCAATGATGCGCTCGACTGAAGTCATCTGACTCTCCAACTCCGCCGACTGTCTCACACCGAACTGTGTCTGACCCGTCAGCATAAGGGCTGGCATGCAAAACCATTAATGTAATAAATTAATACTTGTTACATACAGTATTATTTCTAGCAAACTATACCTGATGCAAATGCCAAACCAGCATTACCACTAGAGATTCCTATGTTTTTGTATAAATAAAACAATTGTTTTAAATTGTATTTTGAACCTAACGCTAAATTATGTAAATTATGTAATTACCATGTTGGCATGCCATTATAACGGCGGCCACGGCAGCTAAATAGATGACACACAACCAATTGGCAATTAGTCCCAGCGTACGCGACGCTCCCAGCAAAACAAACCAAGTGGCACTATGGTCGTTTTGGTAGGTGTAAAACTGGTTACGAAATGCCTGTTGAGCGCCGTAAGCCCTGATACTGGCCAACCCGTTAAGTGTGGTGCTCACGTGCGAATACACTGGATTACGAGCTGTATGCAAATATTAATAATTAGATTATTTCTATTTTGATCATGAATGAATAGAGTAATACACTTACTGAGCCCCTCTAACCGTTTAATATCACGTGCAGTTTTAATGTATACCCCGCGGACGGCTATTGTCAGCGCAAACAGCACTACACTCGGTATTATTAAATAGGGGTTTATTATACACCACCACTAGTATGCCTATTGCTTGCGATACGGTCTGGCATTATGGTAATCAAAATAATTGATATAATTAGGTATATAGTTTGCATGGCTGACAGGTTTCAATTTTATTACCAGATTCAAATCAAATGATGTGGATGGCAACATCTCGTCAATAATACCCAGATCCTTAGTGAATCGATTTAGTATACGACCTGAAACAATAGGGGGACAATATTTTATTGTTAATGATGCTATTTTATTCAATGCGTTTACCTACCAATGGGATTGTTATCAAACACAGCCATCGGTGCCCTCAATAGCCGTATGAATATAGTGTTGTGCAGACGTTTGGAGGCAATCATACAAATGGCAAACCATGTCATCGACCGGACCATTGTTGACAGCAGTAGCGCCACAATTAGTACTGAGTAAATGATCAGGGCAAAATTATTTTTCTCTTTCGACTGTGTTTCCTCGTTGTTAGTCCTATGGGTTAATAATGACAATTATTATACAATTGTACATAATATAGTACATGATTGATTTAAATTTCTATGTTAATTACCATTGCATTAGCCATAGATCCGACGCGTGAAAAATTGTCTGCGATATACAGGTAGACAGTATAGTAAGTGTGCCCAGTATTATACCACAACCGGCTCTGATGTACTCCTAGTACACCCGACCCCCGATAGAGCCCACTGTCTGCTGTTCGTCCTGTATTTGGGGCGCCTCCTCCTCCTCCTCCTCCTCCTGAGCCTCAATAACAGAGGTTTGTTTCTATGGGAATAACAAAACAAAATAATCATGTATTTAAAAATTTGGTGAATGTATAAGTTATAAAATTATTTACCGTAATAGCAGAGCTTTTACGGCGCCGTACACTACGCCTACTGCGGACAGAGTCGGCCCTAACAGTGATCGCCGATTGTTGTGATTTAGGGTCTGTTTCGCTGCACATCGTGTGTACACTCGAGCCCTCGCTTTCGGCCACCACTGCGTCCGCGTCCTCGTCGTCGTCGTCGCCGTCGATGAGTGCCATAAAGTCTAACCCTTTGGCCAACAGTTCGTCAAACGTTCCCAAAGCTAAACACTTTCCGTCGTCTAACACAAGGATTTTCGTAGCCTTTCGTATGAATTGGATTTGATGTGTGACTAGTATTTGGATTTTGGGCCCCAAGTAGTCCACTATACACCTGATAGAGTGTACATACAATATGTGATTAGCACAATAATAATTATACAAATGTATATAAAATACTATGCAAATAACAATCTATAAAAAAATCATGTAATTTTAACCCAAAGACCATCTATCCCACAGGTATTTTTATAGTAATGATTGCTATAACATATTTCATGAATTAAGTTTGAGTTACAGTTTGTTTTTACACAGAAAGTATTTTAAAATTAATGCAGTATTCATTACAGCTCGCATTAATGTAAAGATATCATAAATTTTATTATTTATAACTTTATTACAGTTGTTTTGTATTTCTACAATTTTTATAAACTAAATGTATTTTTATGTTAAAACATGGTAATGTGTGCAACATATAAATTATAATTCAGGTTACTTACTGTTCAAATATATGTTCGGCAACGGCCGCGTCCACAGCCGATAACGGGTCGTCCATAAGGCATATGTCGGCGTTTCTGTACAGAGATCTGTGCGAAAAGGTATTACACATTATAAGTCTACTGTATTTAAAATTTACAATAATTATTATAAAAATAAATTTAATTTATCACCTTGCTAACGTTATTCTCGCTTTTTGTCTACCACTGAGTGACACACCTTTTTCGCCCACTAATGTCCGATCGCCGAACGGGAATATTTTTAAATCCCGCTCGAGTGCCGCCACTCGTACCACATCTCTATACCGGCGTTCGTTGTATTCCCGGCCAAACAATATGTTATTTCGGACACTATTGTTGAAACTCCACGGCTCTTGTGCTGAGTAACTAACGGTGCCGTTCATATGAATAGATCCACTTAATAGCTCCAATTCCCGGAGCAGTGTCATTAACAGTGAGCTCTAGTTCAATTAATTAATTTGTATTAACTTATGTAATATTAAGTCTGTTAATTAGGCAGTAGTGTAATTACTTTGCCTGACCCAACAGGACCAATCACTGCCAACAAATCACCAGGTTTTAAGTGTAGAGAGATATTGTCTAGTGTTGGCTTTTTATTGTCCTAATTCAAGAGAATAGAAAATATGATATTTATATTTATTTATAAATTCATTTGAACATGCCTGATTCCATTTAGCCGTAATATTATTTACATCAACACTAATTAGCCCTGTATAGTTATTATTAATACTGTTGAGTTTAGGGCTATTTTTGTAACCATTTTTACCGCCAGTCATATATTGATTTATATTTTTAGTTTTATAGCCGCTGTTGACAGGGTCTGTAGGCATCGGCTCTTTTTCATCAAGCTCAAGAAAATCCTAAATATATTAAGATATTAAATAAATTATTTCAACTTGCAAATTATATAATTAAACTATATCCATTATAGTAAATTAAATTATTGAATTATTAATATAAATATATTACTTGTATTCTTCGACAAGTGACCAGGAGCTCAGCCCCTTGGGCAATACCCTGGGGAAATATCCATGTTAATGTGATTCGGAGCATATTGAACAGGGCCATTGTGACAAACACACTCTTGGAACTGAGAACGTGACCTAATAGTACGTACGTCAGGAAACAGCAAAACAATATGATCTTGGTGGCTATCAGGAATAGTGACAGATTAATCGCTTTTAAATAACACACTTTGCGTATGTCATTTACCTCCAACCTAGGACATTCAAATATTTATCAATATAATTAATTATTTAAATAATTATGTTTAGAGGTTGAACATGGTATTTGTTTAAAATTTATATTTACTTTCTAGCTTTAGCCACCAAGTCCGAAAATGATTGCTCCCATGTGTACATTTTGATTACTCTCATACCAGAAATAATTTCGTTCATTAGCCGTAATCGTGCATCAGTTAATTTTGCCGTTTTTTGTCTAGATACAATTAGATATTGATTTAATTTAATTTGACTCTGTTTATTACTTATATCTGCAATTAAAATAAAAATACCTGCAGCGCGAAAATAGTTTACCCATGATCAACTGAAATGGTATGTAGAGTACAAACAGGCCCAGTCCCACCACCGTTGAATTGCCCAAATATGTCCATGTTATGTAAATAACTAGTACGGCTTGTATGGGCCCCACAATCACGCAGGTCATTGAAATTGCAAACTATAATCAAGGGTAAACAATTGGCAAATATTTTATTCCCTAACATATTTATCGTGTTTTGTAATTAACTAACCTCATCAAACCGGTTGACATCGTTGGACATAATATTGATTATTTGGCCGACTGTTGTCTTCGCCAGCGATGATTGGCTCAGTTTTAAACACTTTCATTTTAAAATATGATAAATATTTTATTAGATTTTTTTGTAATAAGCAAATATGTTTTATATTCAATTCAATCTATTGAAAATCAATCTAAAATTATTAAGGTAATACAGTAATGTCATGATTTTCATTAATTAATTATCTACATAACAGTATAATATTTTTATGTACAGTACATGTAGTAATTGGCACTTGAGAAAATAGTGATTTATCATGTACCCTGTTATCTAACTACATGTACCTGTTTATTTTTTACTGTACTATATATTATGCTTGATCTAAATTAATCTTATTGGTTTATTAATTCACAGTAAATGTATATGTAGTATAAATGTTTCTAGCACAATTTATCATAAAGATGATAGGATTTTACATTTTGTTTCACATTGCAGAATTTGTGACAAAAGTCATTACCACAAAAAAAACATAAATTTTATGAAAATAATTAAAATGATCTATGTACTTTAAACGATTGATTATTAGGTAAGCGCTCATACCTTATTATGCCCACCCTATTATCTTATTACAGGTACTTTTTTATTGTTTACTGTACAATATATTACGTTTGATACGACATCTAAATTAATCTTATTGATTTATTAATTCACAGTACATGTAAAAATATATGTAGTATAAATGTCTCTAGCACAACTTATCATAAAAATTATAACATTTCACATTTGTTTGTGACAAAGGTCATTACCACAAAAAACATAAAATTTTAAAAATAATTAAAATGATCTATGTACTTTAAACGATTGATTAGTAGTTAAGTGCTCATACCTTTTGATACATGAGAGTAGTGCACGCGTTACGCAATCTCATGCCCACCTGTAGGATACGCATTAGGCACGGGTGGTGTAGTGTGATGTACAGGGCTGAGCAAACTACTATACCACCCGCAGCCATACAGGCATGTTGGTAGCTCATGTAATTGGCCCCGCTGAAATAATCAATCACAAAGCCCAATAGTAGGGGCTGGCCAATTCGTACACACATTCCTGTATGGTAAAATAAAAATAACTTATTTTTAGTAAATAAATTCAATTTTGGGCTAGAATCTTGATTTTTGTTCTACAATTTTTTTTAAAAATCTCAATTTCTTACCCCGATGCCAAAAATAGTGACCGGAATTATAAACTGTAGACCAAAAGTCTTAAGCAACGCCCACCAGAATTTAGGTTTACGGAGTTCAATGTCCCAGTTTCTATAAAGTTTTAAATTGCCATGATTTAAATTTAATAACAGTATATAACTATAAACTGAATTAAACTCACCTTTCCAAATTGTTGAACCACTACAAGCGCCTCATCGTCTTTAGAGCATCGGCTTAAGTGTTCGTACGATAGACTCTGTTCGCCAGCCCTTCCAGAATAGAGGGTAAACCCAACTGAACCGACAATTAGGGTAATAATATTTGTTTATAAGATTTTATAAATTATAAGTTTTAAAAATTATTTAAAAATTTATTTAGAATTTAAAAATTTAAGAATTATAATGTATGATAACTTACGTTAAAAATAATTTCTGTAAAAAACTTATTGAATCCCATCTAGATTTTTTGGTTATTTTACTTTCCACTTCCATTGTTATTAAGTATTTATTAACACAGTGTTTAAAATAAAATTAATGAATACAACTATTATTAAAATTATTATAAGTTATAATTAAGATCCCTTTAAGTATATATTTTTTGGGATATAAAATTATTTTGTAAATAAAAGTTTATTAATAATCTAGCTTGTGATCTCAACGGTTTTTGTAAGGAAAATGCACTCAAAAAAATTTTTGCTATTAAACAAAAAACTAAACAAAACAAAGTTTTTAAGTTTCAAAAAATAATTTTTATACAATTTTATATTT